TTGGTGCACCAGATACAATGTCTGAGTGTAGAGTCACATGCTATCATGTTAAAAGGAGATATACAAAATTATCTGCATTTCCAGCTCCAATTCCTGTCTAGAGAAGAAGCAGCCCAGGTCCCATAGCACAGCAGTGTTGCTGACACTGTTTTTCACACACACTGTTATGCCTGGACTCCTTGCCTAAACCCCCATGTCCTGCAGATCTCATCACACCATCTGCAGGTGATGGTCTGAGAGCTACTGCCTTGCACCCCAGCAGCCAAATTTACTCAGTTACTGAGTAAATGTCAGCCCTTGCCTCTGTATCAGACCTTCTTGCACTCAGGGCAGAGACAAGCCAGGGCATGGCAAGCCCCATGCTGATACCAGCCCAGCAGTACCTTCGCCAAAGCAGAGATCTCACCCCTGCAGCCCCCTCTGGTTTGGGAGCTGAAAGCAGGAGTTCCCACCTTGGTCCCTACCAGGAACCCATCTCTGGATTTGCTGTGGTAGCACCCTTCCTCCTTTTAGCACTGAGGGCATCAGCGTGTACTTTAAACATGCTTTCCAGACATTTGGAACGTGGAACAGGCTGCCCAGGAAGATGGTCACCGTCCCTGGATGTCTTTAAGGGTCGTTTAGATGAGATACTGGGGTATATGGTGTAGGGGAGAATTCTGTAGAGTAGGGCTGATGGTTGGACTCGATGATCCAAAGGGTCTTTTCCAACCTGAATGATTCTGTGATTCTGATTCTGTGATTTGCAGCTCCAGAAATAAAAGGGATAATGTTCCTCCTTATAACCTGGAGCACCAGCCTGCACAGTGCAGGGCCTGTTGTGTAGGTTTCTGGCCAAATCTGCCTCAGGCTTTGCAGAATTCCAGGAGGGCTTCAGGTCGCCAGCCAGAGAGAGACTGACCTGCAGGGAGTCAGGAGTTTGAAGACAAGATCCGCTAGAGGAGGTATATTAGGAATGAGGGGACGGGAGATCTATGGTGTACAAATCACTGTGATTTCATGGGATTCTGGCTGTACAGCTCACCACAGCCTGAAACCAGGACTATTCTCTGGCCTCACAAAGATACCGACCAAGCTCACCGAGGTGCTGCCAACCTGACTTAATGTCAGCTGGCTCTGCTTTTACTAACAGCATGGTCCCAGCCCCTTGGAGCACAGCAACAGGCTGAGGTAGAGCAAAACAACCACTCAGGGTTCTGGGAAGGACCTCGGGAGCCCACGGGCACCCACACAGTATCAGTGGTACAGGCACGCATTGCAAGAGGAAAGGGCCTGAAGAGGAGCCCAAGCTCTCTCCCTTGTGTGTGCCTGTTGGAGCAGCTGACAAACAGATGGAACCAAAGATGGTTGCAAACTCCCGGGTAGTCTCCATGTGCTTTGTGAAACCTGCCTAGCACTGCTGGAGCACATGCATGTTTCAAGTAAGCCAGGAGGAACTCATTTGATACCAAACCCATTATGTCCACAATGGGACTTTTACTGTGTTCACGTGATTAATTTAACTGTAGTTGACTGATGTGTGGGGCAAGGCCTTAGGTGGCCATCAGTGTCTGTGCACATGGAAGAGTGGCAGGATCATGCCATGGGTCAGTAAACTATACAGAGAAGAAAGTAGTGTGCTAAGGGACCATCAAGCTGCTACTGGAGCTGCTCAGGCTGTCAATAGATACTTAGCCATCTTCTTTACGGAGGATCTACTCTCAGAAAACACCTCTGTGTTTTGAAAGGAGAAACATCAAAGATTTTATTGCCCCAACAACTTGCTTTGGATTGAAGAGTTTCACTAGCAAACAAACCATGCTTGTGTTAGTCAAGGGCAGCCATGTGAGCAGGGGCTCTCCAGACCCTGATCCATCTGCAGCTATTACAACTCTGATGGCAAGCATAATGGCTGCCAACCATCCCAGCTGGGGTGTTTTGCCGCTGGTTCGTGCTCCAGCAAGTGGAGCTTCACAGCTCACATGCACTTTAGTAGAGTGGTAGTCTGTTCCTCCATCTACACCCACTGCACACAGCAGTCAGTCTTGTACACATCAGAAGTCACATAGCATCAGGGCACTTCTCTGAAGGTAGCAGGAGCCTTTTCAACCTTTAGCTACTATATATAATGTGCACTACTTATATTATATTGTTATAATAATATATATTTTATAATATTATTTACTTAGAAAGGGCAAGCAAAGTCTCCTGCCTCTCACAAATTCCAAGCACAACTGCCTCAGAGATGTCTGCTACTTGAAACACCTTTTGCACTAAGACAAACAGAAGTGTTTGTGCTGCCAATGAGATTAATCAGTTAAGCAGCTCCATCTATGTGTTCAGACCCTTCACAGCATTAGTCTGACTGGTGCCATCGGTTCTTTTGCTCCCTCTGCTCTCTTCTTAGCGCTGAGAACTTTCAGATTTGCTACTTGGCACGTCCCCCCTCTGTATCCCTGTTTCTTTGCAAGCATCTCCTGGACAGACAGCAGCCTTTGACTCATTTTTACCAGCCAGTGTGCCGTGTTCTCAGCTGGCAGACAAGAAAGCAGGTAGGACCTTTGCAGACTCCAGCAAAGCAAAGACTCTCAGCAGACTGTTGCTGTATCTTATGGTCCCAAAGACACTTATGCTCCCAACACACACAGCGCCCCACAATGCTCCCTGAACAAGTCTCATCTGTTCTTACCACCCATGCACACATATGCATGGATGCAGGCACAGTGGCAGCCTGTCCTAGGAGTCCCCTCAGAACGCACACAGGCACAACCATCTGCAGGCCAGGATAGACCCTGCAGCAAAAGTACCAATGGGGAACCATGTAGCTGTTCCTAGAAATTTCTGCAAACATGGAAAAGTTCTGAGAAGGCTGCTTCTCCTCCCCTGACCCCAAACAGTTTTCGGTATTATTCCTCTGCTCTGGTCAGCTTGATCTTGTCAATCTACTCTTCTTTGCAGTGAAGCAAGGATGCAGGCACACACAACAGCAGTGTTTGAGCAGCCCTCTGTGTCCTTGAGGCTTGATAGCTTGCACACCATGTTTCATGGCAGAGAACAGCAGGTCTTGCCTCTCCCACCTTTCTGGGATGTGACAGTCCACTATGTCCTGCCATGCCAGACTGGATCGTCTGGCATCCCTCAACCACCTAAGTGAGGATCACAGGCCTCATCCACTCAGTGCCCCCAGATGTGATCTCCTGTGTTTGCTCCAATTGTGGCAGGCACCCTTCCAAGTGTGGAGGAAGAAGAGAGGATGAGAGGAGCCAGAGGAGTTGTTGACCCTTTTGTAGGGCTGCTTTCACAGTAACACTAGCAGAAAGCATCACTGCTGGTCTACCTGCCTGCCAGAAAACCCTTCCAGAGGCACACAAGAGGAATGGGGAACTTCTGCAACCAGGTGTGCTGAGCACCCCAGTGACAGGAATACCCTGGGGTCACACTTGCTATTGAGCAGTTGAAGGGAAGAACCTTGAAAATCAGAGGCAGGGAGGTGATCAAGAGCCCCTGCATGGAAGGGCCTTTTCTGAGTCCCTCTGCTGACACCTGAAAAAGGGCTCAAGCCATCACCTCCTGCAGCACGTGGCTTATGAGCATGCCTGGGCCAGGCTGTGCCCTGTGACTGGCTCTGTCAGCAAAACGTGGCTCTGGGGACCATCTCTTGTTAGCAAATTCTTGATAGCTACTTGACTGGAAGAGCCCAGCACCAAAGCTCCTGTAAAAATAACTCCAGTGAAGGCAAGATCATATCCAGCCAAGATCACAGCACCACTTGCCACTGGGAAGAGGAGCAGATCCGGAGACCCAAACCTGTGGGATATAGGGACAGTTAAACCTTGCAGGAATGACCCTTAGAAAGCTTTCAGGGACAGTGCCCAGCAGCTCCTGCACAAGGTCTCTGGGGAGAAAGCATTGCTGCAGGCAGCCAACTTTCACTGCCATTGCATCTGATGGTGCAGCCCACTCTCACCCAAAACAAGTAGGGGAGCACGATGCTGTTGATGCACTCCCCTGCTCCCCTCTGTGCCAGGGACAGCTGGAAAGCAGGGCTGTGCTGGGGCAAGAAGACTGGTAGCACAACCACAGGGAGACTCATGCCAGTCCCAGATCTCCATGGACCCCGCTGCACCCTGTCAGACAGCACTGGGAATGGCTGTTATTTTCTGTGCTGGACATTTCACTGGCTTTCTGAAACCTGCAGGACACGTCTGGTGGCTCTCCAACACGTGACAGCTTCAGCATGTCTCTGGCAGGACCAGGAATCTAGTGCACCACAAAGAGAGATGATACATTAGTGTCACCAGCATCCTCCTGCCACTTGTGGTTGGGTTATGGTAGGAAGACTGCTTAGAAGACAGCTAGGTTCTCAGAAAACCTTTTAGTAAGTCCCCAAATTCCTGTGAAAGATTTCACTGGGCAGTTGCTTCACAACTAAAAGCTTGCCTGATTATTTCATCTGCCATTCTTGGCTACTCCATCTTCCCTGCTTTCATGTGCCAGAAGGAAAACCTCTGCCCTGGAGCTTCCTTGCCTGACAGGGGTATAGCTGGGCCATGGAAAACACTCCTTTAAACCTTCTCTTGAACAAATACATTGATTGTGCTTTACTGGCCTCCCATGATAAGGCAGGTTTGCTAACCCTGTTAATAGTCCTGTAGCCCTCTTTCCAAGCTCTTTCAATGTCATCTTTGGCATGTGCATCTAAGACCTGGATGGAGCATCTGGTAAAGGCTTCACAACAAATTCTTACCATCTGAGCACTCTAAAATGAATAGTCCCCCAACAAATTAATAGCAGTGCCATTATGATTTATATTTTTGGAAAGAATCTCTGTTTGGCTTTATTCTGTTTTCTAGTTTCATAGAATCATAGAATGGTTTGGGTTGGGGGAGACCTCAAAGATCATCCAGCCCCAAACCCCTGCCACGGGCAGGGACACCTTCCATAGATCAGGTTGCTCACAGCCCCGTCCAGCCTGGCCTTGAACACTGCCAGGGAGGGGGCAGCCACAGCTGCTCTGGGCAACCTGTGCCAGGGCCTCACCACCTCACAGGAAAGAAACCTGTCAAGGTCTCTCTGAAAGGCATCCCTTCCCTCCAGCATGTTGACGCCACCACACACTACAAGTTTCTGAACATGCAGGGCATATATAGGTTGTAGTTTGACCCGAACTTCAAACATACATGAAGTTATAATGCCACCAGAAGTGGTCATACTCTCTGTCCTCTCCTTCCTGCACTTCTGTTGAGTGACCAAATGCTGACCCAGATTGATGAACTGAACCAGATGAAAACCAAACCAGAGCGCTTGGTGTCATGCTGGATCAGCATTTCCAGCCACTTCACCAAATAGCTGCCCCAGCATTAAGGGGGTGGGATAGTGCAACAAAGCAGCTGGAAGGTGGAGGGACCGCTGCTTTTGGTGGCAACATCAGCTTAGTCCATCAAACCACAACCTGACCTTGGAGTCTCCAGTGCTTCTCTGCAAAGATGAGGGCGTGTTTTTAGACAAGAAGCTATGCTTCTTACTCTGCGAGGGTGAACATCAATGGAAAACAGCTAACAGAGATAGATGAAATAAATTCTTAGCATTGGCAACACTGAGACTGTCATATGAAGAGGTAATTCCTGTCAGCTATTTCCAGACATTTCCCTGTTCAGATCTCTACAGAGTAGCCCGTTCTCCCTCACAGCTCTCATGCTCCTCTCCAGAACAGGTTATATAGATGTGAACAGCTTCAGGATTCCTTGGACTTGATGGCCATCAGTGTGACTGTTTGTGTCTATGTTCAAATGAATCGAGGTTATTACTGTCCAGATTCCTCTGTCAAGCTTTGTTGTCTGCAAATAGTAAATACTTGCAGCTAGTTGCAGCTGCAGGAATGGGTGTACAGAGCAGCTGTATTTTTGTTCTCCCTCATACAAAGCATGACAGTGGTGTGAAGCCCGAAGTACTTGGGTCTGGAATGTTTCCCCCTGTGAGGTGAGGGGAAAATTTTGTGACTACTTCAAGATCTCATCAAGCTCAGACAGGTATCAGCCCTCCCGGCTTTCATTTTCAAACCTTCCTAATTAGTCTGGGGGCTAAAAAGTTGGTTGATTCAGTTCTATCTGAGTGCTAAGCTTCTGCTCTGATAACATTACCTGAAGAGCACAGCCCTTGCTTGTACATTCACATTGTTAGTTCTCTCACACAACATGTGGAAGAGCTGAGCACTAAGACCCGACCTCCACAACTCAACCCACTGTACTCTCAGATAGAAATGCACAAGGTACCCACGGCATGCCAGCAAACCTCTCCTTGCAAAGCAGCAGCTTTTGAGTATACTACAGGATAATAATTTCTCACCCTGCCATGGAGGGGACCTTTCAACCACAGTGTCAAAATTCACAAACACCAAGAGCGTGACAATAAAGCACAAGGAATTTAGGTGCAAGGGGCACCCGAGCTAAAGGCATCCAGTGACTATTCACATCTTCAGGATGGAGCTGTGTTTGGTGGAGTATGGGTCTGTGGCACCAACTGCACTCAGGCTGAGAGGAACCACCCATGCTGGGAGATGTGGTCTCCACAGATCACAGTTGGGTATTTGAGACAGAAGCGGCTGCAGTGTGCTCCCTTCTACATCAATTAGCAAGCACTCTTGATCTCCCAGCAATACATCCTTACTTCCATCTAAATACCCACCACACAGGCATCTGCTGCAAGAGCAGCAGTGTCACTGAGCAGCAATGCCAGATGGCTCCCTCTGTAGGACATCCAGCAAGGCCTGCCTGCCTCCCATTCCCGCTTGCAGAGGCATCTCTGGAAAGGAGAGACCCCTTCACCCTGCCCCCGCTCTTAGCACACAATGACACACCCATCCCTCTTTGCTAAGCTGGTGGCAATCCCTTGCTAACACAGGTGGCAAGAGTCGAGCCAACACTCAGGTAGATGGTGGTAGCCATGGCTGGTGTTTTCCCACCAAGGAGAGAGGAGGGAGCTGCCTGCAGGACAGGAGCCTTCCCCTCCAGCAGGCCTTGCTCTTGTCACCTTTGCTCCTCTTTCCAAAGCCAGGGTCAGTGTTGGCAACTGGTATTGCTAACAGAGAGAGGGGAATGCCTGGGGAGGGAGGAGGGTCAGGCACTAGGCAGGCTGCCTGGGTCACTGCTAGTGCTCTGCGTTAGCAAGCATGAGCTGCGGGCTGGATGTCTCCCTTGAAGAAGGCTCCGTGGCTCAGAGGCTCTCAGGCCTGCGGGAGCTGATCACGACAGTGTGGGGTGAGAGTGAGTGAAGCATTGAAGTACAGCTACTGCTATAGACTCGTGGGTCCAGCATGAAAGGCTGTGCTGCAGCATCTCAAGTGTATACTATATGCAGAAGTTACCCAGTCTGTTGGGTTGGCAGAAAAAGATCATTATCTGGCAGCTGCCTTACTTTCCAGGGACACCTGCTTTCCTTTGGTTGCCGGACTCTGAGTCTGGGTTTTTCCTCTTTGTCGTTTTTTGGCCACACCAGGAGAGGGCAGGGAATCTCCTGTTGGCTCCAGGGCCTGAGCTGGGGGCTGAGGTCGGGCGGAAGGAGGAACTCGCTGAAGAGCAGTCCCTGGCTTATGCTGTCGGCAGGGAGAAGGACTTTCCCTCCGAGGGGGCAGCTGGCTTCTGGGGGAAGCACTGGGGTTTCTTGAAGGAAGGACAGGGCTCCAAGGGGATGCACAGCTGGACCTCCATGAGCTGCTTCGTGGAGGAAAAGAAGTGGAGTTCAGTGAAGGAGGAAGCCGACTTTGTATCTGCGTTGTTCGGCACTCATTTGGGACACTTCCAGCTGGTCTCTGTGCCTGAAGCCTGCAGGGGAAGAGAAGAGGGAGGATGAAGGGGAATTTCTGCAAGGAGCTCTGGGATCCTGTCAGGTTTGAATGATTGTTGCTTGGTATGAATGTTGCTTGGTCAATTACAAGGAGTGTCCAGCACCAGAATGCTGTGAACAAGATGGGACATAGGTTTGAACACCATCCTGTAACTCCTGATGCTGTTAAGTAGTAAGTGTTTGCCCTGATCCTCCAGAACCCTCTGGGACAATGTGCAGGCATGGTTTGGCTGCTAGCACATATCTGGGACTCTTCTTAACATGCAGCATGGATGCAGCAACCTTCCAGGCAGGATATACAATCTGGGAATGTGGGTATGAGATGGATCGCACCAGTTGGCCTCTGACAGTAACTCTGCTGGAAGATAAACCAACCCACAGGGAGCCCCTCCTTTCACGCCACATCTCCAAAACAGCAGCGCCAAAGCAGCAGCTCTGCTCCTGGGCTGGACCCCCAGCCCTAAGGCCAGGCAGAAAAGCCAAACACTGGTGAATTCAGAAGTTCCACCTCCACATACATCTCTGTGCTTATCTGATAGATAGCCAGGTACCTCCAAAAAAGTCAAGGCAGAGGGATGTGCAGGGAACTCAGACCACATGGAGGTGGCCCACACTGTTGCAGGTCACTCCAAAGCCCATGAGTGGGCACCTCTCTCTCTCCAGCTCTTCGCAGGCTGGCCATCTTCTGAGGCAATTACAACTGGCAACCTCTCAGCCCTTGCAGCTCTAATCACAATAGACAGGCCAAGTGTCCCTTCAGAGTCACGGCTGTGCTGAGCGTGCTGTAAAACTGAGAGTTCAGCACCAGAGGAATCTGCTGTTATCAGGATCAGACCAAATGAAAGAGCTCATGGAAGGGAAGAAGGCCTTAAAGTCAGGGCAAGTGAAGAGGGGCTTGGCCCTTTGACCAGACTGAGCCAAAGAAGACAGAGAAGTGGGAATTTCACACCCCACTGAGCTGAAATGACTGTAGGAAACAGGGATGGACCAGGCATTCAAGCCAAGTAAAGGGTAAAGCAGGGGGAGGTAAGCAAAGCCTGGGCTGCGCCTCTTAAGAAGTCCAACATTTTGCATTGCTCACCGTTCCAGTCTTACCTGTAGGCAACAGCCGCATCCTGTGGGGAGCTACATAGCACTGTGACGGCCATGGAGCTCTCAGACTTTGCCACCTCTAGCAGTGTTTTCACTGGTGTGATGGGCCGAGGAATTCTGCTCTTTGTGCTTATGGGTCTCTCTTCTTTCCCCAGGAGGGTAGCCTTCTCCTTCCCCACCTTCCTTGGGATGGAGTCATCAGAGTCATGGGTGTCCTCCTCAGAACCAGTGGCTGACAGGGTTTCTGAGGCTCGCCGCCTCTCATCACTGGAGGATGCTGAGGAGGAGGCCCCTGAGGTCAGCCGAAGGAGGCGGTTTTGCCTCTTCTCCATCACTAGGCGAGCCAAGTCAGGTTGCTTTGCCCTCTTATAAAGCCTCTCTTTGGCCGAGAGTGAAGTTGAAAGGTCTGAGCCAGTGTCCTCTTCAGAGAACAGAATGGGTATCCGACTTCTGTACCTGGAGCCCAGAGGTCTCCTGGGGCCCTGCTGTGGTGTGTTGAGGAGAGTGTCTGCTCGCTTAAGGTGTTCTGCCACTGATGCTGTCTTCTCAAGGTCAGGCTCCCTTGCAACCATCTTGCCTGGCTCTTCCAAATCCAGCGAGAGCGCCACTTTGTTGGAGAGCTCCAGCTTGTCCTCGGGAGGCTTTGCTACACCATTGGGAAGGGCCAGCTGTTCCCCCACTGTCTCTGAGGTGGTTTCAATGTGATTAGCTGAGAGTGCACAGCTCTCTGTCTCTGCCCCTTCTAGCCCTGAATGTATGCTTCCATTCTCCACCAGCACCAGGTTGTCCTCCAGCTCTTCTTCGATAATGACCTCCTCAAACTGGCCCGGAGGGCAGTATTCCTCATGCCTCATCAGCTGGCCACTAGAAGACATGACATTTAAGTGGGTCTTTTCAGCAATATGAACAAATGTGCGCTCAACTTTGGTAAAGGGGGAGGAAGCTGTAGCCACTGCCACGGGAGGCTTTGGTTCAGATTTAAGGACTGAGGACAGGGTCCCTGGCTCAGATACATCCAGTTGGCTACCCATAGGCTGTGGCCTCTCACTCTGAGGTGTCAGTGCAGCAAGAGTGCCCAGATCAACTTCTGGAGCCAAGTCTGCAGTCACTGGAGACTTTTTCAGATCACCTGGTGAAAACAGCACTAGTGTTTTTGAGCCTTCCTCCAGCTCCAGATCCCCATCAGCAGTGGACGCTCGACCCTTGGATCCCTTCTGGTCATCAGCCAGCAGCGTGGATGGTGCACACTCCTGGCTGCGCTCTGTGCTTTTTTGACTCAGGTCGCTGCTGGAACCACTGTGCATGTCAATCTCATCCCCTTCCTCCTCTGCCTCCTCCTCCTCATCTTCCTCCTCCTCATCTTCTTCCTCATCTTCTTCCTCCTCCTCTTTTCCATTCATTTCCAGATAAGGTTCCAGAGGTTTGCAAGGAGCAGTCAAGACAATATTTGAGAAATCAACTTTCTTTATCCGCTGGGATACCTTAGGCTTTTCCCGGTAGTCTGACATGTCTTTTCTGAAGTCTTGATAAGGCAAACTTAAAGGCACCACCTTGGGTAGACCATTCATTTCAAATGACTTCAGCATATATGCCTGCAAGAAGATAGATGTGATAAAAGAAAAGGGTTAGTATTCAGACATAACACTGACACAGAAGCATCAGGATCAGCAGCAGTGGGAAGCATCAGTGGAAAGCACCTAGTCCATCCCCCTTCCAAAATAGTGCCTGAGCAGTGATCACTCCATCATTTGATTCGAGCAAACCTTAGAAAGGAAAGATTCACAGATACTTATCAATGAAGGAAAAAGAATGTGCCAAAGGATTTCCTTTGCAGCAGTCTTTAACCTGGATCTAAAAGAGCTGCTTGCAAGTAATTCCTCAGGATTTTTTTAATGTTTCCCAATCTTCTTCAGCATTTCTATATTTCAGTATTGATATATTTACATATTCACTCCTTCCTTACTGGAACCATTGAGGAACTCCCTTTTATGCCAAGGCCACATTCAACTCAAGGGTCCCCTCTGGGCTAGATAAATTTCCTGATCACTTTCCAGTACCATCTAACATTGTCCTTGGGGCAATGACCCTTGTAGGGTTCCTGTGTGCCCCTGCTGTGCTATTCATCCCTCCCTTCTGCTCCCATGTCCCTCCAGCAACTCCTAATTCTGTCGTCTTCTGTTTTCACTAAAGTACATCAAGTACATCATGAAAGCTGACATATAAAGTATCATTATGAGACTCTGGGGTGTCTGCATTAAACCATTAAAAGCAACGGGAGGACAGAGCAGTTGGTGGAGGCAGTGTTTGTTGAGCAGCAGTCTGTGGCAGAGAGACTGCCTGTAAGGTGCCAGGAGTAGGCTGTGACATGACTGCAAATATATAATACTAACAGAAAAGCAGCAGCTCACGCTCACATACACACACTTGACCAAACAAGCAAAAAAGGGCCAAATAAATAGAAAGCACCCATCAAAGTTTGGCCTTAATTAACAATTGGTTGTAAATGAAAGCCACAACAGCACCACTCTGCAAAATGGGTTTTTAAAAAAAACATTTAGGTCATCCTTCTTTCTATTAAAAGGGCTGGAAAAAGAAAGCCTCTCCATAAACTCAACCGGTCAATAATGCATCACCTGTTACCTTTTAAAAGTCCTAGTCATGACCAGAAGGGCTCCAAAACCTTCCGTTTTTAAGCAGCATTTGACAGTGTCAGAGGATGTTTAGGATACACTACTAAACAAGCACCCATTTAACTATGTGGGCTACAGAGCTGCCAACAGCTAGCACATTCACCTGGCTATGGGAACTGATCTTTTTGTCTCTACGGGATGAAAAAAACCTTAATAGCTTTTGAGTCCAATGACATAATTTCAAATTGTGCTGAAAATCCGCATGTTATTCTGTGCAGAGCAACTGCCCCATTAGTATGCCTGAAAAATGTAGGATCTTTATGCTCATGTGTAACACGGATATTTCAAATAGATTAGTGGGCAGCACCAAGCTGTTATGCATGGTGATAAGTTGCCATCCGTTTAATATTTTTTTTCATATAAATTAAAACACAGGCTGGTTTTGGCAATGCCTCTGGAGTCCAAAGCTGCTTCTTTTCTTCCATTAAAGCTGAAGCCTGGCCCTGTATTAGCCTGATTTGGGCTTTCACGGACCCATTCTACCTTTTGTATCAGGATGACAGATTTTATATCAGGAACTTGGACTGGTAAGAGGGACTTAGCACACTTTGCAAAGGAAATTACCCACTTGGCTTCCTCCCTCAGGCATTTCTTGGAAATTATTCCATTCAGCAGCTTAAGGTTGGATTCTGCCTGTTGGCTGGATTTGGTTTTCCTAAGAAATACACCTGCAGTGCAATCCCTGGAGTCCTAATTAAACAGACATACTTCCCCAGTAGGACTGGTAAAGAAACCCTGACCAACACCTTGCCTTGTGCTGAGCCTCCCACTGGAAAGAGTACCCAATCCCCAACAAGACTCTACCTGCTACTCCATCCCATTTTCTTGATGCTGTGGTTGACGGTACAGTTGGAGGACCACTGGTTTCTCTTTGCATATGTAAACCTTCAAATCTCCTCTCAGCTATTAGGAGCCTGTGTCATTTCATATGCTTTCTGGTCAAGAAGAACTGAACCTAGTCCTGCAGAGCACATCCTATAAAGGCCAGAGTTATGATGTCTGTGCCATGCAGTCTGTCCCTCCAGCAGCCCTGTCTCCAGCAACCCATTTCCTCAACAGCTCTTTCTCTCGCAAGTTTTTCTGAGATGAGATTGCACTAAGCAATAAGGCATGACATGAAGCTGGACAGCATGATGTTGCTGTAATAAAAATAACGGTTCTTTCCTTCTGCTCTGGTGCCCCTTTGCTGTCACTGAGTCATGCTCTGGATATCTTTCTTTCCTCCACGTACTTCCATCTCTGACTGTACAAATTCCTTGTGGTATTTAGCCTTTCTGTCTGTCATTTCATTTTCCCCATGTATTTTCCTGCATGGACACTGCACCCTAAGCACAACAGTGATTGCTTGGCTTCTGTCTATCTTTGTGAGACTTGGACTGCTTAACATCTTGCATGCAGTACCCCAAAATTGCCAGAATGCATTCCTTAAAGCAACCCGAGACTGTGGTTGTTTTGCCACTGTAAATGCACCATGGAGAAAATCCAAAGAGCATAAATATGCCAAAAAAAAATGGAGGACAGACGTTACTTACAAACCTAACTAAAAGAAACTTAGTTGAAATGTCCCTTGGGTCAAATATTATTTTAATGCATATTTTCTTATCTTCATTACTGTCATCACCTGAAGCTGTTAGCAAGGGAGACTGTCCTAGGGCATCCAAGTCTGAGACTCTTCACTGTTGAGTTAATGTGATTAGCAGCTAGCTGTAAGCAGACACCTGGCTGAACAAGGTGTTCCCAGCTTGAACCCCTCACTAGAGAAGCTTGTGTCCTCTCTTGACAGTCATCATATGTCTTTTGTAATACAGCACACTCAGCTGCTCTAGGAATATTCCCCACAGGCTGGAAAATAATTTTTCTGTTTTGCTGTATCAATGGGGAGGAACTGTGGGAAGATGCCAGCAGATCCGGTGTGGAGAGGCTTAGCCTGTGTCTTAAAATTGCAGAATAACAAAGGTGCAAGGACTCTCTGGAAGTCTCTGCTCCAACCACCCCTAAAAGCAGGACCAACTTAGAGCTGGCTGCTCTGGGCCCTTTCCAGCTGAATTTTGAGTATCTCCAGGGATGGAGATACCACCACCACCTCTTTGGGATCCTGTCCTAGTGTTTCAGGCTCTTCATGATGAAAGAAGTTTTATACTGTATCTAATTCCTCTATCCAATTTTCCTTTCATGCAGCTTGTGTCCATCACATCTCATCCTTTCACTGTGCACCTCTGAAAAGAGTCTGGCATCATCTTTTCATCAGGTAGTTCAAGGAAGAAATAAGATCCCACCCTAATGCTTCTCCTTTTAAGGTGGAACAAACCCAGCTCCCTCAGCCTCTCCTCATGTCATACATTTCTAGTTTCTAATCATCTCAGTGGCTCTCTGCTAGGCTCACTCCACTAGGAGCTAGACCTATGCCATGAGCTGAGGCAGCCATCCCATATAAAAAAAGCTATCAAGACTGTGAGTGAGCAGAGCTACACTGGGGCTGGCAAATCTGAGTCAAAAGGACTTTTCCTTTATCTCCAGCAAGCTCTGATCTCTGCCTGTGTTCCGCGCTTTCACAGAAAACACATTGCCTGTCCTTGGACAATGAACTATTTTTCCCATCTGCTTGGGCTCAGATCTTCATTCCTGACTCTCTTTTGACTTGTCATTCAATTGCTCAGGAATGAGTATGGTGCTATATGTGTCTGAGCATGTGTTCCCCACACAGTCTGCACACTCCACCTCTTTAACACTCTATCTCTTCATAAAACTTGACTGCATTTAAATTCAATTTGGCTAGTAACTGCTTTGTGTAACAATATGTATTTGGAAGGCAGTAAATATCCCTGCTTTGCACAGAGGCCATAGTTAGAATATAGAAAGGAAGGAGAGTCAGGAAAGAAAAAGATCTACCTGCTCATATTTGGCAGAGGCAGAAACCAGACCCTTCAAGTCCATCTCTGCTCCTGTACTCATGAACAGGTAAGTGGAGTCTGGGGGGTTGTCTTCTTTATGGTAAACTGGTGGGTGTTCAAATTAGCAGGATCACTGGCACTGGAACATCCTCAGAGAGGACTTATATCACCAAACAGGGGCAGCAATAAAGTTCCTACGTCTCAGTGATGCTGCAAACACTGCAAAACTCAGCAAAGATGCAGTGTCCACTTTACTACAGCAAGTTTACAACCCTGCATTAGAAGTTCCCAGGTCCCCTTGTAATTAGGAACGTAGCCAGACATGTTCGTCCCAGACAGCAGCACGGAGCAGACTCACACTGGTGTGTTCAGGGGCAGTACTGGCATCCAGCTCATTAATGTGTTCATATATGGCCTGCCCCATGCGAAGTCATGCACACTCTGTCCAGGTCCCTAGAGCAATGAAGAGTGATGACAATACCTGCTCTGCCTGTGTGGCTTTCTGGTGATCTCATGACTCATGAGGGCATAGAGAAGAGACCCTATAGCTTGCCTGTGCCTGTGCCCCCGCAGCAGAACAGTCTATGGCATGGAACAGAGTGAGCCCAGTGTCCACCAGAAAAGCCTGCTCTCCTGAGCAGCTCTGCATCATCATGGGGGAAAGGGAACAGTTCCCTGTGTGACCCTAATCAGTTTTCCCTTAGACTGTAGAATTTAGCATTTTTTTTTTCTCTCATCTCTTGGTTTTAAACATTTTAAATGCAATAATTTGTGGGAAAAAAGTCACGGCCAAAAAAAACCCAACACCAGTTACTGGAAAACATCACAGTATTTGCCTAACATAAAGTCAGAAAATGCCGCATCTCTTCTATTTACTGTTCTGTTTCAGACCCTGCTCTAAACCATGTTTCCATACTCTGCACTATGGCATCAGTGCATCCTTCTGCAATGTTTGACAGATGTACACATCTCCCACATACCAACAGCCTCACAGAGGCAAACAACACTTTG